ATTAAGGAATTTTCGTCATGGCTTCTGACTGCTAGTTGGTGCTCGTGGATGCGCTCTGCTAGTCTTCTGCCTGTCTGTCCTATGTAGTGTTTGTTACAGTCTTTACACCATATGTTGTAGATGACTCCTGCTTTTTCTTCTTGGGCTACTGGGTCTTGTGGCCTACTTAAGATATTTTGGAGTGATTTTGTTGGTTTGTGTGCTACAGAGATTGTGTGCTACAGAGATAAATTAAATTAAAGTAAGGTTATTCATGAGCAAAATAGAGGCACTGATTAGAAATCTCAAACTTGGGGACAGACATGAAGAGCAATATGGATCAGACAATCTCCCTGCATAAAACATGACTTAAATTCTCAGTTACTGCTACAATAATACAAGAAGTCAGTGTTCTGCTTTCACTGAGTCCCTGCTCTCAACCAGTCCATGTATCCCATGTTATGGAAGAGGAGAACAAAATGAAGACATCAAAGTGCAGCCTAGAAAAGTAGCATAAAGACACCTACATAGTAAGAAGGTTTTATTCCAGCTCCCAAAACAAAATGTGGACAACCTTTCCCTAGTTAAAGGTAAAAGACTGAGAGTAATTATGGCCCTAAAGGAGTAATTCTGTAATTTCTCTACTTACTGGTTCAGTATTACTTCGATATCAGTTTGATTTTAGTGCAAAAGGCCTTACGGGTAGTCCTCACTTAACAACCATTCATTTAGTGACTGTTTGAAGTTACAATGGTGCTGAACAAAGGGACTTATAACCGGTCCTTGCATTTACAACCCTCGCAGCACCCCTGTGGTCATTCAGGTGCTTGGCAACCAGCTTGCACTTATGATGGATGCAGTGTCCTGGCATCACGTGATCACCATTTTGTGACCTTCCCAGCCAGCTTCCAGCAAGCAAAATCAATGGGAAACCATGTGATTCATTTAATGAACATGTGATTCACTTAGCAGCTGCAGTGATTCGCTTAATGACTGCTGCAAAAAAAGTTGTATAAAATTGGGAGTGACTCACTTAACAACCACCCTGCTTGACAACAAATTTTCTGGTCCCTATTGTGGTTGTTAAGCGAAGACTACTTGTATTCCTATATGCATAAGAATATTATGAATGTCATTGTGAACATGTTGCCTTAACATGCTGATTCTGCTTTCATTTTGCTCTATAGGTAAAGATGAATCAGGAACAAGCAAAATCTTATTTTAAAGAACATGTAACTTAGATGAGCATACATTCATATGCTACATATGAATTATACAACATACAGCCCAGGCAATATGAAGATGATAATGACCCTAATTAGATGAGACGTTAAATCCAATACTACAGTTGAGAAGAAAGACTTCTGGATCTGAGAGATTAGCAATGGCAGAAAAGAGCTGGTACTGTATAAACAAAAAATCGGGATCACATATAGATGGTGGCAAAGGAGACAAGAAAATTTTAGTTTCTGCATGAAGTCGAGCATAAAGAGGAGGTTAAGTTGGAGAAGTCAAGTGAGACAGACCACTTACTGGCTAGTGATGGAGGCATGGGTGGCTGAATGGGGTAGGCTGGTTGTGCAAAAGGTTTAATGCTGAAAAACAAAATAACATTGAACAGGTTAACTCATTTTGACAAACCTTCCTCTAATCTGCATACTTCAGGTACAGCTTTTCTCTGAATATCAGATGCTAAGAAATATGAGCAGTAGCATGGATATTTGCAGGAGGGGCAAGGATAAGGCAAATGATGAAACTTGTGTGACGATATAATGTAAATGCCGTGACTTACATATTTACATCAGACGTTGGGACACAAGTATACAATTGCAGCATTTACATGATGATCTCATTGCCTGCATGTCATCATTTTGCCAACATTGAGATTTGCTGCATATGCGGCTGAGCAGAAAGGTGCTATCCCATTCATATCCTGTTGGTGGGCTTCTCACAGCCTCTGGCCAGTCAATGCGGAAACACAATGCTGGACTCAGTGGGTCTTTTGATGTGATCCAGCATAATTCTGGATTTCTGGAATTATTTGTCCAAAAATATTGACTTCATATTTTGTATCGTATCAAAAATATAATGCAGTGGATAAGGAAGTGTTTGTGGGCTTCGCTGTGGCATGGTTTCTTAACTGAAACATTATCTAAACAATGGAAGAGCTTACAGTCTTCCACATTTGAGTTGGAGCAATCTCTTGGTGCAACTGGTAACTAGGATTCAATTATTCTGTTTGTGCCTCTCTCTGTTTTAGAAGAATTGTAACAAAAGTTTGCTCAAAAACCATAATCTTGCATCAGTATTAAAAATGCACAAACAGCACGCAGCTCAAGCACTTACTCTACAACAGTCATGTTCAAGACTATCCTATCCTATCCTATCCTATCCTATCCTATCCTATCCTATCCTATCCTATCCTACTTACTCCTGAGAAGATCCAGACTGTCCTGGGATAGGCCCACTCCAAAACTGAGGAAACAAAAAGAACACAAAAAACAAAGTCAAGGACATTCTCAATAGCTGACATCATCACTCAATGGTTCATAACATGTTGAAGGGCAATAGCCAGCCTATTTAATACACTTTCTATAAAACAGCTTGAAACTTCTGCCACCAGCAGACTGTTGGAAGCTGGGGCTATATCAGTGGGCCTTTCTACACAAAGCCAGAGCATTTTTTCATTTTTGGTAAACTGGTGAGTCAGAGGTAGGCAAACTGTGAAGAATCAGTGGCTGTAATAGAGCTTCCTGACCTTTGAAAGCCCACTTGCTGGCTTAGCAGCATCACTAAAGGAAACAAGGAAAATTTTTAGCCTTTTTGGGGGGGGGCAGGGGGGAGGAAGTTATGAGAACAGGAGGGGAGGCCTTTGAGGGGCAAACCACTACCATCCATACCCTTAAAACTCGCAAACCATCCCAAAATTGGTACAGGTAGTCCTTGGGTAACGACCACTCCTCAAAGTGTTGGCCATCCTAGCACCACTGCGGTCATGTGATCATGATCCAGGTACCTGGCAACCAGCTTGCACTTACAATGGCTGCAGTGTCCCACAGTGTAATGTATGTGGGAAAGACCCTGGGAGATGGGGGGAAGAGATGCTGCCTAGGGAATGGTCAGATAAGAGACAGCAGCTGCATAGTGGGTGGAGCAAGAGGCTCAGAAGGGTCCCTCCCTAAGTTCTTGGGCTGTAAAGGTGAAGGTGGGAGAATTGTACTTGCAGACTTGCAAGATTCTGTTAAAGTAGCTTTACAATAAAGTAGGATTCGTTTATCTGGTCATGTTTCCTGTCCAATCTACCAGGTAAGGCTGACACATGGTCATGTGACTGCCATTTGTGACCTTCCCTGCCAGCTTCCCAGAAGCAAAGTGAATGGGGAAGCTGGCAGGGAAGGTTGCAAGTTGCTTCTGTAAGTCACTCTCATTCCCATCGCTTTTTCTCCTGAGGAGCCCAGCTACGGAGTATGAGATCCCAGGGTCTTTCCCACATACATTACACTGTGGGACACTGCAGCCATTGTCTCATACTCCCACTGGTGCACCCTCCTGCACCCAGGAGCAGCCACCTCTGGCCTAACTGTGCTTGCACTGCCACAGCCACTTACCCACCCACTGGTCTGCTTGTGAGCCACCCGGGACTTGCAATTTCCTGCTGGCTTCCCTTCTGACTTTGCTTGTTGCAAGGTGGCAGGAAACTGCGAGGAGGTCTTTACTTAACAACCTGTGATCCTCGCTTAACAACGGCAATGGGGACTGCTGGGATTGCTGTTACTAAGCAATGCGGTCACATGACATCACACTTTACAACTGTATCACTTAGCAACAGAAATTCCAGTCCCAATTGCTGTCATTAAGTGAGGACTACTTGTAGATCCAGGAGAAGTCTACCTTTCAGACAATTCCCATTTCCACTGTGAATTTCATCAAAACAAAACAAAGGGCCAATTTTCAGCAGCAATATCTTGGGGTGCCTGGGCACACCTGCAGCCCACCACTGAGAGTTCCTTATCCTTTCATTGTAGAAGGCTTGGATGAGATCTGCCAGAGTTTGGTGGTAGTATATGTGAAATAAGAAGTATTAAATGAATGTGTGGAGGTGGGAGGAAAGTGTTTGAGGGAGCTCCCATAACATGAATGGAAAGGTACAGATGTTAGACGAAAACTGTATATTATACTTGCTTGCTTGATTAAATTCAGAAAAAATAACAAAACATAATCAAGCAAATTGCCAAACCATAACATCTATGTTTTTCAGATAGTTATAGGCCCAATGTATATGAAGATCAAACGTATCCAAACAAATTGTCAGAGATATTACATGGGGATATATAAGCTCAAACAAGATAACACTCAGAGGTATTTGACAAAATTGCTTGAAAATCCTCTTTCTTGCCTACTGATTAGGTTTCTAAAACATGGCACGTGAGTTTAAGAAGGTAGGCAGAGATGGATAGCCGATGCAGGTTGGGTCTAAAGTATCTAACAGGAAGGCATGTTTCAAATGAGCCAAGAGCATCTCTCCTTGGAATCCTCTCTGCGTATGCTACTACTTGCCACATAAGAAGCATGTGGGGCATTTCTTACCCTGGGAGCAGCAGAGAAGACAGCCTGAGGGAGTGGAGGAGGAGGACTCAGCTTGTTCTGCAGGACACTGGCAGATACAATCTGTGCTGATGACATGGAAGCCATACTCTGCAGAGCCTTGTCCTTTGAGACTTGATCCTTCAAAATTGGACAAAAATGAAACAGAAGGAGGGCTTGCTAATCCATACTTTGAGAGTGCACAAAAATAACAGCCATCTGAGATTAAGGGATGATTTTTATAATAAAACCATTTTCAGTCTGAGCTTCAACTACTGTACACTAACTATAAGCCATTCATTCAAGCTGTTTCTGAAAAGAAATGAGATAGTTGTCACTATTTTTAGAAAGCTGATTCTTGAGGGATCATGTTAATCAAAGACAGTCAAATTCTTTGGTTCTGTACAGCAAAGCACAGGCAGTTTCATAGTGTAATGCTCAAATTCTCCAAACAGCAGCTTCTAATTTTGCCTTTCTAGCAGCATCAGACATCATTTTAGGTTTCACTGAGCTTAAGGATTTGTGCTCTTTATTTTGCTGGTACCCTATGCATGAACACTAATGGAACAAAGACAGATCTGGGTTGTACTTACCAAGTTCATAGCCTGCATGAAGGGAAAAAGAAAAAGAGAAATATGATTAGAACCCAGGCACTGAGTGAAGGCTGAGGAAAATTGCATAATATCTATAATCATAATGGGGTTTCAGTGGATTAAAGAAATCTAGTTTTATTTTGTAAACAAACTACATCTGAGCAAGGCCAATTTCCAATGTAACCTACTACACAGAATCCTGGGAACCTTGGCTGAAAGGGAATGGACAGAAAATACCAAATGGCAGGATGCTGATCTCAGTGGATATCTTCTTCATGTTCACAAATGAAGTGAATGATTCACCAGTGGTTGGGGGGGGGGGGACTGGGGTAGGCTGTCTAGTTTTACTCTTCTACAAATCAGTCCATATCTATATATGGATGATAACACTCTTTTGCACACTAGACAGATATAAATGCAAAACAATGCACAAGGTTCACTCAATGTTCTCTTCTATCATGTACCTGCACAAATACAGAACAGGTAAATTATCTGGAGTGTAGAAATTCGGATGACCACTAGATGGCAACATGAAGATACAGAACACTTACCCCAGGGTTTTTGCAGCCCATTAAGTACTGCACTGAAGTATATCTATAAGTTTCTTAGGCTGTTATGTCTCTCAGAATAATATTAAGGAACAGCAGTGTATTCTTACATTATTATTTGGTATTTATAAGAAGTAATACACCGCCTACATGCAGACAATTGTTTGAATCATTAGAACTTATGCATTCTTTTTATATTATCTTTGGCTTCCTCCTTAAAGTTTAACAACTAAGACAGTAAACTGGCTATGAAATCATTCCTTCCTTTGGTCCCTCTTTTAAAAATGCCATGAAACATAAAGCAATCCAGGACTAAGGCTGGGAGAAGTTTATCAATCTCAAAACCTCAGTTCAGAACTTGCAGGGGCAGAATTAAAGGTCATTTCAGGTGGATTTCAATGGCACAATGCAACCATAAAAGGAGAGTTTATTTTCTGAGCACTCTCCCTCACCCCAACGCACAAATTTGCTAGCAGTGGTGCCTTTCACTGAGTTGACTAATTCTTGAGTCTGAAAAAGATCATTTTGAGATGAAGTAGAATATATAGGGCTGCTATAGTCCCTGATATCAAAATATAAAATATCAACCTAGCTTCCCTTGTTTAACCTTTTCCCCTCCTCTCTAATGTGGCTTCATTATTAATTACTTTGTAGGTCTGTTATGAATGAACAGCCTGCATTGCTTTTGTCCATCATGTAATGTTTTTTAAAAAATCAGAAATGCAGTATCATGGACAATTGTCTCATAAAGCAGGCTACAAAAGCCGTATTTCAGTACTGCATAAGAACACACACAGCCCCAGTTATGGGCACGTAGATGCACATGCAGAAATAACATGGCTTAGCAATGTGACTGGACTGCTACACCCTCAAGGTCCAGTGTTTTCTTCTGAGTATCCACCCCGCTTATGCCAAAGTTAAGGCACCAGCATCAACAGGATTAATTTGGGCATGCATCCTGTACAAAGCTGTCAAGTGTATCTCAAACATAAAAGTGACAACGGTAATTGTAAAAAAAAATCAATGAAGATACCAAATGTACTGTTTGATATGTATTCAAAAAATTAAAATTATTTATGAAGCAATGACATTAACTTCAAAAGAATGCTGATAATTATCAGTCCCTCTTTAGTTTCATTTTATCTTTTGTGTAAGGAGCTCCATTTGGAGGTATGAAGTCATTCCCATTTTATTCTTATCATAAACTTGGGAGGCAGGTCAGGTTGAGTGTGTATATACGGCTTGTCTTCTAATGAATGACATAGCACGTCTACTCAGAAGCCAGTTGCACTGAGTTCAGTATAACCTACTTCCACAGATGTGAGTATAGTACAGAATTTCAGCTTGAGTAATAATTTGAAAATGGATCTTCCTGGTTCCACTTGGACACCTGACCAACCTGGAAGAGATTTTGCCACTGGCAACAACATTCACAAGTAGCTAAGGTTTACCCTGAATACAGAGCCTAAGGGGAAATCTGCCCTTACTCCTTTCCTTGCCCACAAATAAGAAAAAGTAAGATGCCCTGTACAAAGTGGCATTTCTGGAGTATTTGGCAAAAATATTCCTTGACTTCAGCTGACTAGCATGCCAGTTCTGGGGTAATGTATTATGCTAACTTTTGTGGAAGATTTTCTACAGATCATTCTAGATAAAGATAAACACATTCTACAATTATATCCAATCATTTAATACAATATACTTTTTAAGTCTTTCTCACTGTCTATGCCAGCCTTCAACTGGAAGCATTTATTGAATTCTACAGAACACTGGGCTTTAAAAATAAATATAGGCAACTTAGTCTGTTTGTAAACTAGCCAAGATTTTCTTTCTTTCTGGGTCAAAAGATGGGAAGACAACCATCTACGGCTTTCCCAATCCTATTTACGTACAAACTCTACCTTGGGGAATCTAGAAAGGAAGAGAGGCAATTTTGGAATTTTTAGGTTCTTTCCAAGGCATGTATCAACAACAAAAATGAAGAGATAATTCACATCAGTTTAGAACACCCTCTGGCTTCCTTTACAACCACCCCACTCTCCATGCTTCATCTTCACTTTATTCAGCAAATCACAATACACAGAACACACAGAGGAAAGGGATAAGGAAAGGTTAGTCAATCTCCAGTTACAGAATAAGGAGGAAAAAGCCAACCATAGAAGAAAAGGAAAGGCAATCACAGGATAAAGCTCTCCAGTTGCATCCTTGCCCAGTTTCCTTGGCTCCTGGTTTCATGAACTTGTTCTACATATCCTGATTCAGCCACAGCCATCTTATGTTCCTTTCTGGTTCTATGCATCTCTGTTGCAATCAGCTTATTCCATTGCATAGGCCTCCTTGCCAAATTATTTATTAGATTCTTAAAACCATCACACAATATTTCCAGATCATAAGACAGGTCGAGTAACACCTATTTCATTTGTTTCTATATCTGCTATGGTAAAAAGTAAAATAACTCAAGCCTAAGCCACTCACACTAATAACTTAATAATTGTTATTATATATAATATTTATTATATAATTAATAACAGGGCTTGACACTCTCTCCCCTTCTGTTTAACATTTACATGAAACTGCTGGTTAAGGTCAGCCACTGGTTTGGGGTTAGGCATCATCAATATGCAGATGATGCCCAGTTGTATAACCTGAGCAGAGTTCAAGAGCAGGTGGAAGTGTGGAAAAGAGAGCCTTTGCACAGGGACACCTAGTTGTCAGTTGCATCCCTTCTTGGACTGGGAGGCGCTTCAGACAGTCACTTCTGCTTTAATAATCTCATGATTACTGTAATGCATTCTACTTGGAGCTTGAAGACCATCCAGAAGCTACAGTTGGTCCAGAATGCAGCAGCATAGGCAGTAATGGGGGCACTACATTAGGTATGCATCATCCTGCTTTGTGAGCTGCATTGGTTACCAGCTGGCTTCCAAGTGCAATTTAAAGTGCTGATTATCACTTATAAAGCCCTTCAAGGCAAAGGCCCTGCCTATTTGGGGGACCACTTATCTCCAGTGATCTCTGCCCATTCAGTTCAATCCAGCAAGGTGAGTGTACTCCGGGTTCCGTTTGATTACTTTGCTCTTCCAATTTGTTGTATTTTTATGTCTTTTTTTATATTTTGGTTCTTAGTTGTATGCCATCCAGAGTCACATGGGAGTCAAGTGGCCTACAATTTAAATATTAATAAACTTCTTAATATACTAAAGCTCTCCTTATTAACACAACACAATCTAGGATTCAGATTTGTACATACCCAACTCTGACTTTTAAAAACAAACTGACTACAAAAGAGGCTTCTACATTTTTTATTTGGAGAAAGAGGTTAAATGCTTTTATTTTGGGACTAGCTTCAATTGCCATCCTTTCTTTGAGGCTGAAGTTTTGATCTATTGATGACTGCAGTACTACCGTGAATATGTCAAGTATATGCTGTTAAATGAAGACTATGCCTCATCAGTATTTACTTTCCCAAACCAATAGTAGTGGTGGCAATATACAATTGTCACATCATTTCACAGGCCATTATTCATTCTCTATAGCTTGCTTTGTTAACAAAACTTCTCAACTTTTTGGGTTATAGTGAAGTGTTCAGGTGGAGGCATATAACAAATGTCATCTGATAGGATGAATAATATTACTAGATGTTTATGGAGAAATGCAGAACTGCCAGCTGTTTTAAGTCCAACCTGAAAAGTTCTTACTGAAAATTCACTCTCCTATTTCTCCACTGACTTGGAAAAAAAATTTACTGGATTGTTTTTAGATAGCAGCCCTATTCAAATCCTGCCACATAAAGATGCTCTATCACATCTACCAAGCAGCTCTCTCTTCAAGAATTCTAGCCTCCTTTTCAGGACTTTGAAAAGATCTGATCCCAGGATCAAAGGGAGAGGGGCAAGGACATAAAAGGAACAGAGTAGCAATCACAGAATGCAGTATGTTAGCGGCAGCATGGCCATGGCTTAAAGGTGAGAAAGCTGGGGAAGCGCGTACCTTCAGCTTGGACTGAATCTCACGAGATTTCCGTCTGGCTAGAACCTGCAAGTGGCTAGAGACCTGCAGAGAGAAAAGCAGAAGGAGAGGGGGAAAAACAGCAGAGCCGTCAACCAGAGGAAAGGAGAGGAAGGAGAGGGGGCTGCCCATGCTCACACACCACGGATGCATGGGCAGGGTCTCCAACGTACCTTAATGCCAACCTGGTACTCTCGCACCTTCTTCCGAGCTAGAACCTGTATATGGCTGGACACCTAGGCCCCGCCAAGTCATTCAAAAAGGAAAACACAAAAAGAATGAAGGTATGATCCCATATCGATTTGCACGACAACAGTGCTTCAAGCACCCATGTGACACACACTGGCCTCCTAAGCCAGTTGAAGTTCTGAAGGAATAGTATCAGCTTGCAGAGTGAATAGCAGTTAATGCTTACTGAAAGGATCAACTGAACGAAATTGCTGTAATCTTGCTGAATGCAACATTTGGAAATATTACCAGGAAATATCATGTTTAGGTTTCTTGGCAGCAACAAATACTTTCAATTTCAAATGTATTACTTCTCATGGACTTCTACACATTAACAATCATCTTGGTTTCAGAAACTACTCAAATTCTGATATACAGATATTTTGCTGCTTCAGGTCTGTGCAAAATGACCACTCTCTACAACTGTGCAATCCACTGTGTACTTATTTGATTTTTCTCAATCAGGTAACTGAATTGCCATTCACACAATCAAAACTGTTTATGGGCAGAGTCTTCAAAATCTTAGTTCTTGATACTATAGATACAGATACCTAGAAAATATGAAACATTTTTCAGCTATTTGCAAAACTGCTTTTAGGGAGGAAAACAGCAGACATGAGCTACATCTTCAGAACAGAAATTAACTATGAGTTTATGGCTTTGAGAGCTGGTTTAATATTTTGGATAAGAATTCAGTTTATACTTGGTTATAATTGACTCATGAAATAATCTTTGCAGGAAGTCATAACACATAATTTTCCATTATCAAAATATTGAATATTATATAGAGTCCAAAGACAGGTGAAAGAATTCACCTGACAACTACATCAACTTTAATCTGTGTTAAAGACAGACAATGGAAATTGCTTTTTCCTTACTCTATATACATTCATTTTACTTTAGATTTTACTTTTTTCTGTACAGGCACAATTCTACAGTAGAGCATTTCACCAATGATTGGCATAGCTGATGAAATGCAATAAGCCAGGCAATAGAAAAAAGACAAAATAAATCTGCTCTGTTTTATAGCGGCATGCTTTGCAAACCACTCCAACCTCTTGGGACAGTTTGCAGTCCCATTAAATATGTTTAAGATTATTTTATAAACCATTTCCTGCCATATATGATGTATAGTTTCAGCAGAAAGTTATAGACTGCTAGCTTTGGAGCTGAGAATCGTATCTGTAAAGATAAACAACTCAAAATCTAAGATATGCTTTCAGACAGTCCAATACTGATGCCTAGAAAAGCCAGTACAGATGTGGAACTGGCATTTCCAATTTCATTGTACTGTGGAAGGACATAAACCAGAGTCAAAATAGGATGGGAACTCTGTAAATGAACATTTTCCTACTCTGAACAGACAGCTTTCATTAATGTGTTACACACTGCAAGCGAATGTAGCTTACACAAACAGGGAGTTCCATAAAGAATTCTGCAGCTCTCCACTACTGAACCCTAATTATTGTGAGTTACTCTTGTAGGATTGAAGAGGATGAAAATGGAAACAAAGATAAGGTTTCATTCATGACACTTTTCACAACACATGAGACGTCTGCTCGCTCTGCACTGATTAATCAAAAAGACACAGCTAGAAGACGATAGGATAGGTATACACATGGTACATTCCCGATCCCAATTCTTTTTCCTATACTGTACCTCAATTTTACTGAGGTTGACCAGAAGAATGGAAGTTTCTGATACAATGAGGCAGACTTAGCAAGTAGTAAGAAGATTCAAGATCCAATAGTTATCTCCAGACTGTCCACAATGTGCTATGCAATCTCATGCCGTTACTCATGTACAAGGAAGGAGCACAGCCCAAGATTTGTTACTGTTTGTACATAATTTCTTCCTCACATAAACTTTCCCTCACTAAAAGTGAAACCTCCTTAATCATTCTCTTACTTCTTTCACTATTACAGTTTTTTAAATTTATGGTTGTGGATTTCAAATCTGGCTGCTTCATAATCCAGAACCTGGCTAGTCAGAATCCATCCATCCATCCATCCATCCATCCATCCATCCATCCATCCATCCATCCATCCATCTTCCCTCCCGTTTTTAAAATTCTCCATCAGGATAAATTAATGTGGAAGAGTGATAGTATGGGCATTATACAAAACGGAATTAAGAATAAAAAAGTGAAATTAAATTAGCTTGAGGTCAGTACTTATAGAAAACCTTATAGAAAACTTATAAAAAATCAGCCTCTACTGATTTAAAGAGCAGCAATAGCTGATGAGTATTTTTTCCTGCTGGTCATTCCTTTTCTGAAATAAAATCCCTTCATGTTTCCAGTGAGATGTTTGCATCCATTGGCATGCCATACAGGTGGGCCTGCTTCAGGATTCCTTCTAGCCTAGTTATAGGGTCAAATGGTCCTAAGTGGTCCTCCAATTCTGCCTAATCTGAAAGGAAGGTTCTCTAAAACAGTGTTCCTCAACCTTGGCAACTTTAAGATGTGTGGACTTCCACCCCCCGCACCCCCCACCCCCCCGAGCGCTGCTTGGTTCGGGGGGCTTGGGGGGGGAGGGCACAACACTTATAAAAGCTAAAAGGGGGGGAAA